TCAGACAGAGAGCCTTCAAACATGACTGGCAGCTTGCATTCCGTCATGAAGGGAACGGATGAGGCTGAGTAGTGTTGGAGGGCACCCGATTTTTTGAAGCACGGCATATAGGCCCTCTCGACTGACCATATCGAAGGCCTTTGTTAGATCAACAAAAGCCATGTACAGGGGACGATATTGTTCTCTACACTTTTCTTGAATCTGTCTGAGAGAGAAGATCATGTCCACAGTGGACCGGTTTGATCGGAAACCACACTGCGACTCGGGATACACCCTATTCGCAAGAGTAGGCGTGCTAGTAGGACTCTCGCAAACACTTTTCTGGTCACACTTAGGAGTGAGATGCCTCTATAGTTGTTACAATCTCCCTTGTCTCCTTTGGTTTTGTAGAGTGCCGTGATCTTCGCATCACGCAGGTCTCTTGGAAAAGCACCTTCTGACCAGGACTTGCGGAGTATTTCATAGTGATAGGGAAGGAGGTCTTCGTCACACTTGAGCAGATCAGCAGGAATGGCGTCCTGTCAGGGCGCTTTCCCACTTGGGGTACTTTTCAGGGCAGCTATCAATTCGTTCATAGTCGGCATGGCATCCAGCTGCTGTGCTTCTGGAAAGCTGGGAGTGCCTTCTATGGCTTCCTTTTTGATGGGCCGGGGCTCAGAGTACAGTTCTAAGTAGTGCTCGACCCACCTGGCAAGCTGCTGGTTTGAGTCTGTGATCATGGTGCCGTCGGAGGATTTTAAAGGACAAACTTTCCTCGTAGATGGACCTATGGCCTTTTTTAAGCCTTGGTAGAGCTTGCGAAAGCTACCCAGGTCTGAGGCGTTTTGGATCTCTAGGCACAAATTCTTCCAGTAGTTGTTGGCACAGTAGTTCATCTGTTTCTGAAGAGCACTTCTAGCCACCTTCAGCAGGTCAAGGCTTGCATGGGTTGCTCGGGTCTTGAACTGATGATGCGCTGCATTTTTCCTCTCAAGCAGTGGAAGCAGCACGTCCATGTTAGCGTCAAGCCAGTCAGTATCCGCACGTTTCTTGATACCGAAGGTTGACTTGGCAGCTTCAAAGAGTGCTTCTTGAAGGGTGTCCCAGCTAACTGTGGCACTGTCGTCTTCAGTTATGGGGTTCAGATCCATTTGTTCAGTAAACTTTTTGTGGAACGTTTCTATGCAGATTGGGTCTTTCATGGCAGCAGTATCTAGGTACTTTCTGCAGACTTTCTTCTTCTGGGTTCTTGGTTTGGTGCCAAGCTTTATGGTTGACAGGACCAGAGAGTGGTCAGTGTCGCCATCCGCGCTGTGAAAGACACGCGTTTGCTTGACTTGTCCGATGTCAGATCTCCTGGCTAGCACAAGGTCCAGCTGATGCCAATGTTTCGATCTTGGGTGGCGCCAACTAACTTGAGATACACAAACCATTTTGGCAGCAGAATTCTAGTACACGCTGACCATGAGTTCATCCTACCTATTCCATGTTTGCCCAAGCAGTCTGGCCAGGAGGCATGGTCAGAACCTACGCGAGAGTTGAAGTCCCCAATCACGTAGAGACTTTCTGAGAGGGGAACTGCTTGAGCAACGCTTGTGAGATGGTCAAAGAACGCATCCTTCTCGGCATCCGGGTAAGTGAGTGTCGGTGTGTACACACAGATGATGTTCAAAGGAACTGTTCCAGAAGTGAGCCGTACAGTGATGATGCGTTCTGAGATTCCCACGGGAATATCTGCATTTTTGATGATCTTGTTGGCAATAGCGAGGCCAACTCCGTGAATAGCATTTTCGCCGGGTTCTTTGCCTTTCCAGAAAAAAGTAAAGTTCTTCTCTCTTAGGGAACCAGACTCTAGGAGCCTTGTTTCTTGAAAGGCGACAATGTCTATGCCAAGCTTGGAGAGTTCAATGTCCAGAAGTGCCGTCTTTCTTGGCATTCCAGCAGAATGGAGGTTTTGGTCTGCCTGGACGCATGGTGCGGACATTCCAGCTTCCCAGGCGGAGGGTTTTATTCTTTGATGCGGGTAGACATTTGCGTCCACTGTTCGACTTTTGGTCTAGACCCAGTTACCACACTGAGGCAGGTGGACGTGGCGGGTTGGCACCTAACTGTCTAGGGGCTGCCTAGCTTTGGCGGGCGATAGCCAACCAGTGGAACGCAAAGGTTCCTCCCACCGACACGCACGACCCGTGGCACCCGGTTCTTCGCCAATCGAACCAGGTTTTTAACCCGTAGACTGTCGGACGTCGTGTTGTTTCACCACACTGAGGTTGTGGTGCGGAGTGACCTCTCCACTTGGTGGGGAGCACTTCTCCCTGTTGGTTGTTGCATGCCCAAGGACCAACGCTTCGCACTTGACATACACTGGCTTGATCCAGGGAAATGCAAGGCTGATACGCTGGAGCCAGTTTCTGCTGCAGGGGCTGCCAGAAAGAAGGAGAGCTTCCATTCTTCTGCCTGTCGGTTCCCCATACCTAGACTGCTTGCCGGCCAAGGCTAAAGAGAGCAGTCTTCCCTTCATGCTCGTGACCCTGAGCAGGGGCCTTTTTTACCAGGGACTACCAGCAGGGCGGCTGGACCTGGCCTCCAAGATCCCGTGGAGTGCGGGTTTCTGCCGAGTTGCAAGGCTTGCATGGTAAGATGGTAAGAGACCTATAAGCAGTGACCCAGGCAGGGGTGGCGGTAGGTACATGTGCGTGCCAATAGCACACCACCGGATGCCTTTTACCGTCATGCCCAGGACGTTATATATATATATATATATATATATATATATATATATATATATATATATATATATATTATTATTATTATTATTATTATTATTATTATTATTATTATTATTATTATTATTATTATTATTATTATTATTATTATTATTATTATTATTATTATTATTATTATTATTATTATTATTATTATTATTATTATTATTATTATTATTATTATTATTATTATTATTATTATTATTATTATTATTATTATTATTATTATTATTATTATTATTATTATTATTATTATTATTATTATTATTATTATTATTATTATTATTATTATTATTATTATTATTATTATTATTATTATTATTATTATTATTATTATTATTATTATTATTATTATTATTATTATTATTATTATTATTATTATTATTATTATTATTATTATTATTATTATTATTATTATTATTATTATTATTATTATTATTATTATTATTATTATTATTATTATTATTATTATTATTATTATTATTATTATTATTATTATTATTATTATTATTATTATTATTATTATTATTATTATTATTATTATTATTATTATTATTATTATTATTATTATTATTATTATTATTATTATTATTATTATTATTATTATTATTATTATTATTATTATTATTATTATTATTATTATTATTATTATTATTATTATTATTATTATTATTATTATTATTATTATTATTATTATTATTATTATTATTATTATTATTATTATTATTATTATTATTATTATTATTATTATTATTATTATTATTATTATTATTATTATTATTATTATTATTATTATTATTATTATTATTATTATTATTATTATTATTATTATTATTATTATTATTATTATTATTATTATTATTATTATTATTATTATTATTATTATTATTATTATTATTATTATTATTATTATTATTATTATTATTATTATTATTATTATTATTATTATTATTATTATTATTATTATTATTATTATTATTATTATTATTATTATTATTATTATTATTATTATTATTATTATTATTATTATTATTATTATTATTATTATTATTATTATTATTATTATTATTATTATTATTATTATTATTATTATTATTATTATTATTATTATTATTATTATTATTATTATTATTATTATTATTATTATTATTATTATTATTATTATTATTATTATTATTATTATTATTATTATTATTATTATTATTATTATTATTATTATTATTATTATTATTATTATTATTATTATTATTATTATTATTATTATTATTATTATTATTATTATTATTATTATTATTATTATTATTATTATTATTATTATTATTATTATTATTATTATTATTATTATTATTATTATTATTATTATTATTATTATTATTATTATTATTATTATTATTATTATTATTATTATTATTATTATTATTATTATTATTATTATTATTATTATTATTATTATTATTATTATTATTATTATTATTATTATTATTATTATTATTATTATTATTATTATTATTATTATTATTATTATTATTATTATTATTATTATTATTATTATTATTATTATTATTATTATTATTATTATTATTATTATTATTATTATTATTATTATTATTATTATTATTATTATTATTATTATTATTATTATTATTATTATTATTATTATTATTATTATTATTATTATTATTATTATTATTATTATTATTATTATTATTATTATTATTATTATTATTATTATTATTATTATTATTATTATTATTATTATTATTATTATTATTATTATTATTATTATTATTATTATTATTATTATTATTATTATTATTATTATTATTATTATTATTATTATTATTATTATTATTATTATTATTATTATTATTATTATTATTATTATTATTATTATTATTATTATTATTATTATTATTATTATTATTATTATTATTATTATTATTATTATTATTATTATTATTATTATTATTATTATTATTATTATTATTATTATTATTATTATTATTATTATTATTATTATTATTATTATTTTACGTGTGTGTGTGTGTGTGTGTGTGTGTGTGTGTGTGTGTGTGTGTGTGTGTGTGTGTGTGTGTGTGTGTGTGTGTGTGTGTGCATGTGCGTATACGTGTGTACGCGTGCGGGTGTGTATTATTTCCGTTAGTGAATACATTCTATTCACTTTGCATACATATTCCATTTACATTTCAAACATCTTATTCCAGGTTGATGTTTAGCACAGACTGCTGGTACCCTGCCTAATGCTGCAAGGTAAATTGCAATGCCAAGTGCATTTGAAGCTGTTATTCGTGCTAGACCAATATCTTATTTTTTCTGTCTCAATGGGTACTTTCTCATGTACTTAGTCCGTGCGATTACCATATGTGTCCTCTTAAGTCAACCTCTCTCTCCGTACTTACTTAATAATTATCAACTATTGCAAAATGTAGCCAAGCGCATGTGCACGTGCATGGATTCTCCACTGTAGCATAGATATAACACCTGTCGCATTATCACATTTTATTGCACATATCCCCCCTGTGGAGCCGGATGCAGCTGGTAAAATCCCTCAAAAATTCATGGTTACTTAGCGGGCTTAGTATAGTATTGTCACGAAAAAAAATTCCGTCTTTTGGTGAAACATTATAAGCGCCTTTTTTGACAAGGAAAATTGTTAGTTTCATGAGGTCACGGTCTTCAGATTTGTCCTCATTATTTCCATTATAAACTCTCAATTTCAAAGACCTACTATTCTTATTATTATTTCGTTTGTCATCCTCCGTCAACGCAAGAAGAAGGCGAGGAACGACTTCTTCGCTAATAATCGCCATCATCGTTACTAAACAGCTTCTATTCTGACTTCATCCACGATTAGTACTGTCACCCTGCTACGAAGAGGGAATGGATTTGTCTGCGGGTTGTCTACATTAATAACAATCTGGGTTTTAGGCTTCTTTCTGACGAATTCAGCAGAACGGAACAAACCGAAACACATCGTAGTTTGCTTTCCGTTTCTCTTTAAAAATGCGTCCTATGCTATGTACCCAGTGATTACGTGTCGTCGTTTGTGGTAGTGTTGGACTACTAAAGACAGATCCGTATTTTTTGCGAACACTTGCGTTTCTAGTGTGAACGTTTCATCCGTGCTATTATTATTATTATTATTATTATTATTGTTGTTTTGTTGTGTTTGTTATTGTTATTGTTATTGTTATTGTTATTGTTATTGTTGTTGTTATTGTTATTGTTATTGTTATTATTATTATTATTTTACCCTGTTCTGGTGTCGGATCACACTTTCTATTGCGTCATATTCTGTCCATCTGATGGCTTGGTGTGACAACACCCTTATGGTCTCATCTAGAGCCAGTATTCTAAGAAAATAAGATAATAAAGCATACTGAGGGGAGGGAAACTTCCCATGGTACTATCGAAAAGCTGTTTATTGGTATTGTTTACATCTGAGTAAAATAAGCAAATAACCATAAGGGCATATGAAGTTATCTTATGGGGGGATGAAATGACAAGGGTAAGCGATGGTAGAATTAAACATGTAATTTTAAATAACTTAATTTCCTGAAATGTATATTATTTCTATACTAAAGAATCTCTCTCTCTCTCTCTCTCTCTCTCTCTCTCTCTCTCTCTCTCTCTCTCTCTCTCTCTCTGTCTGTCTCTCTCTCTCTCTCTCTCTCTCTCTCTCTCTCTCTGTCTGTCTGTCTCTCTCTCTCTCTCTCTCTCTCTCTCACACACACACACACACACACACTGTTTATCATCATTACCCCTACCTCATTCCTTAGCAATTAAGGAAATTCTAGATTTTTAAGATATAAGTTATTCATTTTACTCAATAAATTAGAACTTAAGACCTCACTTCCTTAACAAAAAATCAAAATCAAAATATGGCTCCTAAACATCATTCCTTTAATAGCTTGTTACAGTAAACTTACCTACCCTCTCCCCCACCCACACACACACATTCTAAAGAAAATAACTTCATCATATACATGTTTCATTGCTTTCTCTTAACAGATGGAACACTGGGATATCATGCCGTGCCAGTGCCCGGAACAACAGGGCAAACTATCAACACAGGTAATTAGTGTGAAGGTTTAAATACCACTGTTAGAAGTAAGGATGTTCATGTTGAAAGTTTCGAAAAATTTGCATATCGCCGTACGATGGTAGTGGTCATGATGTTGCTTATGACAGTAATAGTTGTAGTGATAATGATGATGATGAAAGCAAAGATAATTTTGATAATGATGATGATATTATTATTCTTATTACTGCTGAAAATAATAGTGATAATAATATGAATAAGAATAAGAATAAAAGAAAATAACAATGATAATCGTAATAGTAATCATAAACTTAAAAATAACAGTAATGATAATAGTAATAATGATAAGAGATAAATAATGATAATGATAATTAGAATGGTAATAGTAATAACGATAATATCGATAATGCTAGTGATGGTAATGATAATGATAATAATAGTAATAATAAGTTATAATAACAATAACAATAAGAATGTTAACAAATATAAGACCAGAAATAATAATAATAATTTGAATAATAAGGATAATAGTGATAATGATAATAATAATGATAAAGAAAATGATAATAGTAACAATGATAACAACAACAATAATAATAATGATGATGATAATATCAGTGTTAATAAAAAAAAATAATACTGATGATAATCATAATAATAAAGATACTAATGATGATGATATTGATGATA